GGTGCATCAAAACTTCTCAAAGGTTGTGAGAAATGTAATAACACAAAAATATGCCGTTGTCCGCCATGGGAAGTGATCATCAGTTAATAATATATCCATTATTATTTCGGTGTGGGAACCATAAAGCAATGTCTGCGTAATATAGCTGCGGCTTGGTTCCAAAATAAATATATACCAATACAAAGATCTTGCGGCTGCGGACGTAAGAAAAAATATTGACTGGCTACCTCGCAATCAAAATCGTTGAACTTCTCCTTTTTTCGGTTTTTTTTTTTCTGATAAACCTCAAGCAGAAGGTCATCACATAGAAATAAAATAGTTCTTCTGCATTACTGATCACCAATTAGTGCCAATCTCTTTTGGTGTTTTGATGTATTTTCTGGTTTTTTTTATTGTTATTGTTTTTTGCTATTGAAATATTTTTTTTTTCTATTTTATTGTACAAAAATTAAATAGCATTGCTAGTGAAAAATTTAAACCGGGCACAATTAAAATGAAGTCTCGCTTTTTTTAATTTCCGCATAAAAAATAAAAAGCTGGAATTTAATTTAATGCAACAAACAATATAAAACCTCCTTTTGCAATAGTCATAAGTCATAAAATATTAAACTAAGCATTATAAAAGCTTGAATTTAATTTCAGATTGAATTGCTATCTAAAGACCTTTTCGCTGATTTGAATAAATAAATAAAATGAAAAGTTAGCGCGACGCGTTGGGTAGCAGCGATAGAGAAAGAAGAAAGGAAGGCATGTGCTCCAATGACCTCGGCAACCACGCCCAGGGCACATTTATTTAGAGGGGAAGAATCATGATCAGCAGGTTCAGGTTGAGAGCGCAGAAGAAGCAGATCAGGTTCAGAGGCTGTGTAAAAGATCGTTTGTTCTGAGCAGCTAGTGCGCGGCGGCGGCGGCGGCCGGCCGGTATTTAAGCACAGGTGTGCGCGGACAGGTGCAATGCCTAGCTCGCTGCTGGCCGGGGACAGTTCAACTCTGGTCCAGTAATGAGCAAGAGGCTCTCATTGTTTCCAGCTCACTCACTCGAGCTGCTGAATTTCATAATGCAAAAAACGCAGACGCCAAGATTTATTGCATTGACTTGGCAATTTATTGTTATCGCGGCAAAGTTGCCCGCGGATTATATATCCTCATTATTAACATTAATTATATAGCTCGCGACCAGCTCGACAACTTCTGTTCAACTTTGGAACAACAGGCAGAGCAAGCTTCTTTTTTCAAAGTCCAATTTTTTTTTATCTTTAAAATCTGTGCACCGTTCAATTCAGATAATTTATTTCATTCAGGATCAATATTTATTATACAAACAGTTTCAGAAGAGAAGAATAAGTAATTATTGAATGCTTTTTTGCCCAGCAATTAAATTTGTCCCTGCGTAATATAATTATTTTTATTCTTGTTTATTTCTATTTTAAAATGAAGTTTTTTGTGACAATTTGGTAAAATAAAAAAATCACAATAAAAATAACAGTTAAGTTATAATTAAATAAGAATTTTGTTAAAAATGCTTTTAATAGGAAGTTGCTTAAATTTTTAATTAGTTACCAACGTTTGGCGTAAATATTATGTTATATATTAACAAAGTTAATACAACGTGCAATGATTGGATGGAGTCGCAATCGGACAGACTGTTTATTTTTATAAAAAATAAGCTTACAATCAGATGTGAAGTTCAGTTGTACGGAAAATTTAAATACAGAAAAATGGAAATGATTTGACCACATGATAGTAGGCAAGTTGCGTTCAATTAATTCATTGCAGCTTTTACTTGTAAAGAGTCATTTTTCCCAAACAAAATTATGCTCAAATTTTAAAAAAAATCACGTTTAAATTTAAGATTGTTTTTTATTAGTAAGAAAAGCCTAAAAAAAACGAGTTTAAACTTGTGATTTTTTTAAATTACATATTACGGTGTATTACGGTGTCAAAATGCAGTACTCCGGAGTGAACTAGAAGAAAGACTTCTTTCGGCAAACATGTGAAACGATTTGTAAGAATCGGACAAAATGCATGGTGATTTGGGGTGTCTCTGAAGCATGTGAGGGACGAGATGTTTATCGCAAAATATTGGCCTGGTCCGACTCGACGAGTAAAAAACTTTTGCGCAGAGAATATATTATAAGAGAGAGATGAATCTGTGAGTTATTGGCGGTAATGGGCCTGAGCGGGAACTCGCCCATCATTCCGACACTGAACGGATCCGAGTGGGTTTGGTATCGCGGGCAGGGATCGCGCGCGACGGACGAGCTAGGGCCGCGCGCATAATTGGTGCTCGCTACCGCGGGCGGCAGGGCGGGTTCGTAATTACAGATGGGAATGCAGCTCGGGACGCGCGCAGCATTAAACGCTGCTGACCCGGCCGCCGCCGCGTGTCGTGACCAGCCCAAGTAACAAGCGCCCCGCGGCCACCTGACCTGGACCGAGGACCCTGGTCTGTTTTTCTGCGTTGGCCTTTGGGTCCTCCAAGCGAGAGAGAGATGCCACCGCGCGATCATCTCTGCTCTTTTTCCACCGTTCTCGCCACGGCACAAGCAAGACGGAATTACATCAAGTCATAAGCTATAATCATGGCTTATCAAACAAGACGTGCTGCTCGGCGATTATTTTCCCAAATTGCCCGCCTCACCGCAAGATGGATTTTTTCGTCGAAATCATGTTTGCCCGCAGCTCTTTTTACCACTGATATTGATTTATTCAAGTAAGAGAGAAGAGAAAGAGAGACGCGCGGACACAAACATTCGCAAAAATTTAAAGGGATTAAAAAAATATAACGGAGCATAACTTTATAATCTATGCTCAGAATGACCAACTATTTTGTTTTCTCAGATCATCCAATTAAACAATAACAATCAGTTCAAAGTTCAAAACTGTGTTAAATGTGTATGAAGGCGTTTAACTCCCACTTGAATTTGTTTAAAACAGACTACAAAAATTTAATAACCACTAAAACCTCATCGGAACATTAGAAGTCACGAATTTACCAAAATTTCCTACTTTCCGTAGATATATCTTTTAAGGGCATCTTTTCTTTATAACTACTGTTTTAAAAATATCTGATTAAATTTGAAATGTGGAAAAATTTGTGTGTGCCGCTATATCAGTTATGATGGAGTAAAGAAAAAGGTGGAACAAAAAACAATTTTTCATTGAATACAAAGCCTATTTTCTCCACTCCATGAACGTCTCCTCGAGTGCCGTTTTCGGTGATTTCTTCACTCAAATATTGTGCAGGGGTTTTCTTTTAAATCATTGAAAGGACAAAATAATGTAAAAAGTTTTTTTGTTAATGTTTTTCTATTACCGCAATGCTTTGTGCGATTTGAGATATGGATCAATTATAAGAACAAGATATTTTTAAGTAACAACTTGTCAAAAAATTGCATTTGATTTGTTTTTTTCCTTGCCTTTATAAAAAAAATTTTGACGCAATTTATTATTTTCATTAATATTAATTTCCTTGCGATGGAATTTTCAATTTTTGACACCGAAAAAATCTCGATCGTCTTTTTTGTGCAATAAAACTGACCAAAACTCATTTTTTGCCCAAATAACGGTCTAAAATTTAGTCTACTTTGTAAAAAAACTTATCGAAATCATAAGTTTCACATTCACAGCCGTATCTATGACCGAAAGGAATACAAGTTATTGCTCTCGGGTTAATGTCCTTTTCTAACCTGGCGACAGCAGCAGGCGAAAATTTGATAATTAAAAATCTGTGGAAAACGCAACTGTCCGCAGCGCAGTGTAGCGCACAGATGGCCAAGTGCAACAGGTGGTCGCCACTCTGCGCTTAATTATGTGCCACTGCATTTAGTGTAAATAAAAACCGCAATAAAATTATAAAGGAAAGAGCTAACTCTAAATCTAAACGAAAGAACATATTTATATCTAAAAACATTTTTTAATTATAGATTTAAATTGGCTTAATATTTTATGCTTATTTTTCATTTAAATAATTATTTTGGTGCAATTTTGAATTTTTCGCCGCGTGCGAGATCAATGAGTTGCTCGGCGTCCGGAACGGTAGGTCTGAGTGAGAAGGAATGAACAGCCACAGGTGTGCTGGTCATTAGCTTTTCACGCGAGCGCCAGAGATTTTTAGATTCTCTCTCTTCCTAGTAATGAGACACGCGTGACAGAGCATACCGTCCTATGAAATTGCTTGGACTTGCTGCTCGCTGCATCCAATTTTTATTCTTTATCCCGCTTTACAGTCAGTCACACTCGGCCGTGTCAAAATCGGAGCGAAAAACGCAGCACGTGCGGTCAGTCAATTATTTTTTGGAATTACACGATACGTACGTGTTCATTTGGGGGATTATTTTCCATGACAACTCTTTGCATGACGAATCATGCAGCGAAACGCACTTTTTACAATTAGATCCGCATAAACGTCTCCTGCAATGCAGTCCACCGAGCACAGATTTATTTCAATATTTTTTTGCGTTTTTTTTTTTCATTTTCTTTCGTCGCCATATTGTCAAAATAATGAAAGCTCTACAGAATCTTAATTACTATTGAGGTAAAATTTTGGAGAAAATATTATATAATTAGAAAAAATATAATTTTTTTAAAGAATAAACTCCAACGCTACTTAAATATTGCTAATGTCATCAAAATTGTATTAATTCATTCATTTTTAGCAAATTCGAATTTTTTACAGGGTTTTATTTTTCCGCGCGCTAATTAATTGGATATATTCTCAGTCCATTGTAAAATTACTTATGACAAGTTTGCCAAACGGTTCATATGTATAATTTGGCCTGTGGCATTTTTTTAAATTTTTTTTTAAATAAAACAATATATCAGTTCGTTTTATGGAAAAGTATATAAAAAAAGAACACTGAAAATTGATTCCAAGAAATTAGAAAGCAAATCGCTCACATATACGCGAGTAAAAATTTAGTCAGAAAATAATTTTTTAATTACAACTACCGAAAATGATGTGAATTGTGTTGATTGAAATGAATTTTAATTTGTTGAAGGTGTTTCGAGAGCAGTCGATCGACGGTTCGGCGCTGCCCCTGCTGACCGAGGAGCACCTGACCAACTCGCTGGGCCTGAAGTTGGGACCGGCGCTGAAGCTTCGAGCCACTTTGGCGCGCCGGCTCGGACACTGCGCGTCCTGTCTGCACTGCGTGCATTGCCACGGCCGCGCCGCCTCTCCCTCCGCCACCCACGCGCTTTCGCCGCGCCACTCGGCGTCGCCACAGGCCCCGCTGGCGCCGCCGCGTGCCCCCAGTGCCGGTCCCAGCAGTTCGGCGTCGTGAAAAGCCAACTTGTACATTGCTCAATTAATAAAATTTGCGTCCCATTGTCAGGTGAGAGAAAATAAAAGAGAGTGCAGCGTGCGTGCTGTTGGCGGCGGATTTGTTTGTCGCTACATTTTTCCCAGCACGTTTTTCGTGAATATTTGTGCTAAATTCTGAGCTATAGAGTAGTTTCACTTTATTGTTTTTATTGGAACCTCATTGCATAAATTAATATTTATATACCTTTTGGGTTTCATGTCGCGAAAATGCCTGAAATATATCTCAATATAGATTAGTCACTCTAGTTCTGCATTCATTTTTTCATTTCATGCAGAAAAATCTCATTATGTTTTGCAAGAGGTGTAGAATTTTATAACATAGAAATGTTAATAAAAAAAAAATAAAAAAATAAACTTGAAGAAAATAAAAATCTAAATCGGCAACACGAAGTGAGTGCTTTTATTTTATTAAATGAAAACTGCATTTTTCTGAATCTGAATTTGAAGGTCAGAGTGATCTTTTTAAAAGATGAGAAACAGTATCTGTGATAAGAATTGAAATTACTTTATATTATTTTTATTGGCTAAAATAATGATTTTTTTTTTATTTAGCAAGAAATAAGCACTCAAGGAGACATTTGTGAAAAAAAAAATTGGCCCAACCTTTGCCTCAAAGTTTTGCTTTTGACTCGTTAACTATTCTTTCTACAAGATTTCCCCAGTTCAAATTATGTATTGATCAAGAAGTTGTTTATGGACCTTTCTGAAGTTCGTATTTTATTATCGGTTCTCCAGATTATGTTTTCTTTCTTTTTTTTTTATCACATGCAAAAAGTTGAGACCGTTATTTATTATTTAATAAACATCTAGATTTAGTGTTAAAAAAGATATGATTCCAATTTTAACTTGAAACTAATAAAAGAATGATTTATAATTGTTCATGCAAGGCCCCAAATCATAAAATACGTTTCATTTTGCAATTAGTTTACTTTAAGTTGTATTTATAAATATGTCATAAACTTATGAAAGTTTTGGACAATGGAAGTAGTCGTAGAGATTTCTTAATTTTTTTTTTTGTAAATATTAATGTTGTAGCATTGTTGATATGATTGATGAGTTTGAAATTTTTGAAATTGAGATTATAATTGTTACATATTTAACACCAGCGGTGTAAAACACAAAGATGCAACTTTCTCATTTTCGATTTGAACACAAACATTTTGAAAAAGTTCAATTCTTTTAAAAATAATGTGGAACTGGCTATCTGCACAAAGAACACTCCAATTTAATTTACTTGAGCGCTCTTGAAATTTACTCCATATTTCTATTCTTACAATCAAAAATTCCAGAAGTATGAAAATTATGAAAAAATTTTGTGGTTTCATTGAGGCTCATGAATTGAGAACGCGATTTCCACTCAATGAGATGAGTTCGTCTAACTAAAAATTAGAGCATTTTTGAAAATTTTTATTGCGCGCTCTGAATATTAAAAGAAATATGTAAAAAACAGTAAAAAAAATGCGGATTAAATCGTGCATTGGTCCTAATAAAAATAATCTTCATAGAAAATAATGAATTTAATCATTTTTTTTATCCAAAACGTTCAGCATATTCTAGATTAGCAATTTAAGATGGAATTATAGTATCCTTGAATTATGTACAGTTGAAAGATTTTGCGATAATTAAAGCAAGTGGCATGTGACGACAACTCATTCGTTCTGCCCCTTTTTTGCCCTTTCTAATTTTCATAACACGAGCAGTCCAAGCAAGAAGGAGTTTATTGCCTTCTGCTCCATTCCCTCTCTGCAATAAATAATTCGGTCGGTGCCACGCCGCATCTCCACGCTCCACAAATTTCTTCTCTGTCCGCAGTTGACTGCCGCCGAAAAGGTAATTATTGCCTCGCTATGCGAAGCCGAAGAAGTAATTCTGACCGCTCTGCATAATGACCCGCGCCGCTGCATATTATATATCTGCTGGACTTTTCGCCGTCCATAACACTTTACGATATCAGCGGCATCAAAAATTAAGGTTTTTATGAGTCTTCATCATCGTGGCAGGAGTATATTTTTTCTATCAAGAGACATTTTATATTTTTGCCTTTGCGCTTCTCAATGTTCAATAATTATTATTTCATAGAATTTCTTAAAACATCTTGCATGAACATTCAGGTTTTTTGTTTTATTGTGTAAATGTTTGATTTTATTTGAGTGATGAAAACAATAAAAGACGAGAAAGGTTATTTAGATTCTTTAGATTTAGAGAGATTAAAAAAAAAATTAATTCTATATTTCATTGATAATTGTAATATGTTTTTGTACACCTTAATGTTCATAAAATTTTCTAATATATATTTCACAAATTTCAATTTATGTTTTAGTTTTTTAATAAATCAAGAACTTTTCCGTGTATGCAACAACCTTCACACTGCTTCACGCCTATAAAAGAATTATATTATAAATAATTAGTTTGCACTCAAAATAAAAAAAATAGTAACAATAGTATCTTGCGACTGAATGCGGCCACAAATAAATGGAATAAAAAATACTCATCAGAAACTCACCGCTCTTTGCGCGCATCTGCATTGATAAACAAACGGATACATACTGGCCTTGTTGTCTTGCCTAAAGTCTCGATTGTCTACGGAGAGTAAATAACAGCATAAAAATTTATTTGTATATAGAAATGGCCATTTTATATTTCCTATAAAATTTTCAAATCGGAACTTAAAATTACAATTTTATTTTATACATTGAATCTCCAATTATTATTTGTTTTCGTTTTACTTTTACAGTACGCATATTTGAGATTTTTGGTTTTGAAGAGGAGCTGTGATAATGTCATTTTAATTTATTCTAACGCACACACATAGATACACGAAGCAAATGAAGCCATCAGCAGCTAGTTGGTCGACAGAATTCTCTGCTTGAGAGCCGTAAAAACGTTTAATAAGTTATGGTGAGGCCGCGCGGCGCGCAAGAAGAGGAGCGGTTCCTACAAGTCATTTTATTTACGACCAAACTGACCGAATGTTTTTCCAAGGGAGTGACGCCAAGTAATGCGGGCAGTCTCATCAAAAAAGGCTCTTCTGCTACACTTCTGATCAGTAAAATGATGAATAAAAAGATATTCCACGCCTTTCCATCTTTCTTGTGTTGGGGAACTCACGTCAGATAGCCAAACCAGCGATCCAGCCACCGACGATATTTTTATATTAATAAATTATTTACTTTATATGCCTGGAGCAAAAGGTAGAATTTCAAAAATTCAAAACATCAAGTTTTCCTCAGTGAAAAAATTAATGTAAGTATAGTGGTTATTGAGCCGCGCCAGCCTCTGCTGTGCAATTATGTCCTGAGGAACAGAAGTTCATAATAGTTTTTTTTTATAAATTGAATGCAAACAATTTGATGTAACAATTAGACAAATTAATAAACAGCAATAAAAATGAAAGTAACTCAGCGTAAAAAATCAAAAGTATAAATATGAAAAGTAAAAATACTGAAAAATTTGAACATAAAAATTCTAAATACAGTAGATTTTGAATTCAGCCAAAATGCAAAATCGCACAAGATTTTGCATTATTGGAGAATATTACAATTTCTCTAAACATTTCTTTATAAAATGAAAACCTTTCAATTCGTGAGCCTCTGAGATGCTGGCAGGTGTAGGTGTAACTTCGTTTCACGTAGGCCTAGACACCCCTGCAAATTAGGCAGCTTCTTGACAGGAATGTCTTGCGGGTTGCATAACCTTGATACTTTGGGGGGGGGGGCCATGGTGCATGTTTGCTTTCTCCAAATGGAAGGCACTAATTTTATTGTAACATTTAAAACACTAAAATTATTAAAAACCTATAAAAACGATTGCCTGCCCCATCTAAAATGTAACAAAAATTAGATAGAACTTTTTATTCATAATCATCAAATTTTATCTCCTGAACCTCTCAAAATAAATGGTATGAAAAATTAAGCAAATAATTTCTGCGCATGTTAACTAAAAATTTAGAAATACTATGGTGTTGTTAGGCTTTTCACTCCATAAAATTATTTCCTATTCAGTAACCCATAATTGAATAATTTCGAAATGAGACAATTCATAGACTTTTTATGTATTTTAGTGTATTTAAGTATCAAAAAATCAAGCAGCTCTCATTTTTCAAACCTTAATTGCTAGGACCATTACATACAACAATATTTTATATTCACAATATTTCAGATCATACATTTTCACATAATCTATGAATCTTTCCACGAGTAAAACATTTCCAGAGGGTCCTTGACCTTCCAGAAGCGCTCGATGACTTGACTCAGGGTCTGGTTTCCACTCAGGACAACATATTGACCAGGTGATGGTGAAATGTAGATGCAGAAGTTGATGAGACTCTCCTTGGGTCCCGAGTGCAGGTCGATAGCAATTCTCATGGCCAAGTACTTGCTCAAGTGGTCCACTAAAAAAATTGAAATATTTCAATTATTTTTTCAAAATAAATTTTTTGGTATTTAATAATAGAAAAAATTAAAATATTCAATTCTCGAAGAGTTGCAATGACAAAAATTCAGATCAATTTTTAATTATTATGTTATAATAAAATTCTAATAAAATAATTAAATTGATTAATTGTGATTAAAAATTTACCAGTAGCATTTGCAGTGGTTTTCAAGAACCGTATTGAGTTCTCCTTGAGGGACTTCACTGCCGCGTTATTGGGCATTTCCGTTGGGTGCGGTTTGAAGACCAGCTCAATTTCGTTGGACGACTGGTCGGACGAATTCTCTCCCTCGCCAGTGGACTCATGGCCCATATCAGATCCAGAGTCGTCTGACGACATGACTTTCAGCTTCTTTGGTTTGTTTTGTTGCTGATTGGGCTGCTGTTGTTGCTGTTGTTGTAGCTGCTGCTGCTGCTGTCCGGAGGAGGACGCAGGGACTGGGCTGGGGGCGTGGCTGGAGCTCCCGTGGGCCTCTGACGGGGGGTTGGGCGTGGAGGGCGCCGTGCCCGTCGGAGTCGAACTGGTGGTGTCCGCCTCGTTGCCCTTTGGACGACGCAGAGGCCGGTTCTGGTTCTGCAGCTTGATGCTTTCAGATATGTTGCTCATCAGAGCCGCCTGGCTGTGGCTCTTGTTCAGTTTGGCCATGACCCTCTCCTGGTGGGCCTCGTACTCGTCCCTGCTGGGGTAGATTTTCTGGATGAGCGAGTCGAAGTTGGGGTCTGGACGCAGAGAGCGCTTGGACACCAGTTTTTTGCGGCAGGTCGGACACTCTTTGTTTCCGGAGCGCAGGGCCGTGATTATGCAGTCCGAGCAGAATCGGTGCAGACATTCCTTCGTGGTCATCGTCTTCTTCAGCATGTCCAGGCAAATCGGACACATCAATTCGCTGTGCAGACTGCGCGGGGACACGGCAATTTCCGAGTTGTCGGTGACCGGATTCTGCGGCGTCCGATGCAGTTCGTACAGGGACAGCTCCCATGTCTTTGTCAGTCCTGCGGCGTCGCTCGCAGACATCTTGGCAGCGTCTGCTCGGACAAAATTGGTTATTTGTTTACTAATTGAGTTCGGCTTCTGACAGGACGCTCACTGTAAAGTTATCAATCGCAAGTCCACGGCCACTCCAGCGCTTCAAGCTTCAGCCAGTTCAGCTCAGCCATCATCCTCTATTTTGATTTGAGCAAATTTCTCATTCCTCGTTCCGATCCGAGTGCGAGGAGGTGCATTTTCTTAGGGGCGTGGCATGTAAAAGGGGAGTGGGAAATTCGAAATTTAGCTGAGGAAGTGAAAAACAATAACAAACCTTGTTATTTTCAATCATTTTTCATTACTGAACGATTTCGATTTGTTGTAATTCACGAAAGTTTAATAATAATGGCAGAAGCTCAATTGATCTCACCAAGCGAAAATTTTAATCATCATTCTGGTAAAGTTTTGAATGTTTTTGTTACATACATTTTTATCACTCTTGTATGTATTTTACGTTTTCTTATAGAACTGCTCGGCTTTGCTAAAAATCCTTATGACAAGAACATGGAATTTACGTACGATTTCTATCGCTGCGGATGCTGCTCCAGAGAGTACGATCAGCTTGAAGATTTAATCATTCATAAGATAAATGAAGAGAGCTGCAGTCTTGTCCTTCTACCGTCTCCCAAATTGAGTGGGATTCAAATTCCTAGGTAAAATTATTACTTTGGCTTGATATGATTGAATTTCATGTACATGTTTCAGATTTATACAAGACACAAATTTGGTTTCAAAAGAATCTGTTGAGCCATTGCTCAATGATGCTCCGTGTAGCCAAGATGAACCTGAGGTTGTTTCATCAAAGGACGAGACTCAGCAAAACTTGAGGAACGAGAGAAGCTTCAGCTTAAAGGTTAAATTTGTCACATTCAATAAATATTCATTGAATTATAATGTCAATAGGTGGACGGAATATGTGACGAAAGCCTCAATTTTCTACATGCACTTCCCGGCACAAAAACTAGGAGCGAGTGCAAAATTTGTGGAAATTCATACAGAGATGTAAGCTTCTGCCATATTATTTATTCCTTTATTCGAACATTCTATTTAATTAAATTTCACACAGGCAACCATCCTGAAGACCCACATCGCAACTGTGCATTCCGTTGGCAAACCTTATGCTTGTGATTTTGAACATTGCCCTTTTGCTTGCAAAACCAAAGCCTCTTTGGAACGTCACATACGTAGACATACAGGTATAACAATTTTGCTTGTTCACATCTATGAAGCATCTTCAATTTTATTTATGTTAGGAGAGAGACCATTTGTGTGCGAAAGTTGTGGAAGATCTTTCCGTGAATCTGGAACCTTAGCCCGACATGTGAAGTCGAGAGTGCCCTGCACCAGAAAGTCAGACAACGCTCTTCCGAGGTACGGCAAACCTAGTTTGTCTAGAGCAAGGAGTCCACAGATAGTGCAAGCAAAGCCTGTAGAAATTGTTGTCCCAAAAGACTGCGATGCCCCGTCGAAAGAAATTTTAGAGTGTATGGAAGAAGGAGCCAAAATTACACTCTCTGGTATGAATCATCTTAAAAATAAATGGTAAATTTTTTATAAACATTATTAAATGACAGAAGACACTCTTGATTCCTTGAAGAAGGATGCCTCACAATCCTTGATCCAGCTTCTAGAATCATCATACCCAAAAGCCATGAGTGCTGAAAACTATGCTTTGCAACACCCGATAATTGAGCATCAAGTTGAAGAGGTCGATCTGCAAGTTTTGAGCAAAGTTAAGGAAACTGTTGAAGAACAAATTTCAACGCACAATTTTTATTGCCTCGTATGCAGTACAAAATCTCAAAATGCAAATGAGTTATCTCAGCATCTCCAGGTTGGTTAAATTGTTTTTAATTTGTAAAAAACTTATGCCTTTTTTTTAATAGCAACATTTAGAGGATTACAAGTTTCGGTGTGAAAAGTGCTATTACGTTGATAAATACTGTGACGGCCTCTCCAAACATTCAAAGGATTTCCATAGCAAACAAAGCTCTAAGGTAAGGGTTTAATAGCACAGAAGTAAAATTAAAGGACTTTTCCTGTTCCAGATAATTTTGCCAACAGACTGGTCTGAAGTGGCCTCAACACAGTTGATTTTACTGCATGATGCTTTGGATGAAAAAGTGAAATTTTATCTTATGAAACGTGTTCTAATTCTTAATATCATTTGTCTCAGGTTTCAGGGCAAAAAGCAGGAAGCTACAATCGATGCCATGTTTGTTTGAAGAAGTTCAGCCACAAGTCATATTTTCGCTTACACATGAACAGCCACACTGGTACAGAGACTACAAAATGATTTAAAAAATCAGATTTAAAATGTTATTTCAAAAGGCGGCGCCCAATTTGAATGTGATGTATGCAAAAGGACCTTCATCAACAAGGACTCCCTCCAGAAGCACTTGGTGTCACATTCATCTAAAAGATCGTTCCAGTGCCAAAAGTGTGCTAGAACTTTTAAGCGACTGAGTCATTTGAAGGATCACATGCGAACCCACAATGATTTGAAGCCTTACATCTGTAAGACATGCAACAGAAGCTTCAAGTGGCAGGTAAAAGGCTCAAATAAGTTTCTTTTCCTTATTTCAAATACAAACTCTTGTTTTTAGTGTGTTCTCAAGGTTCACGAAACCACTCACAGTCGAGATTGCTTTTTCGGCTGTGAAACTTGTGGGAAGCAATTGAGAAACAAGAGCTCACTTATTCGACATTCGAAGCGGCATAAAGGGGTTGGAAAGAAATCAAGCACATCAACAGGTAGGCTGGAAATTTTCAGTTTTTATAATTTTATGGGTTTCCGAGATGGCAATTATTAGCGTTCCGAGACAGCCTAAGATGGCCGTCGGCAATCTCTGAAGCCCTATAATAGGCGTTTTTAGAGACGGCTCTAGACGGCGGGAAATTAAAATATTAATTGAAATTGCAATTTAAACACAATTTTATTATGATCAATTTGTTATTCAATTTTTTTAAATAATCTAACTCTATTTATTAAAATTGTATCATCTGTATTAAAATATTTTTTAATTTCGCTTAAATTCCAACTAAAAAATTTGAATCAAAGGTTTAACATGTTCCAAATTTTGCAAGGGTTAAAATAATTGTTTAAATAAATTCAAAATATAAGAAATAATTATAAATTTGGTCCAACCCATTTAATTGCAATTGTATGCGCGTTAATCACATTTGAGGAGGATGCTCAACGCTGCGAATCGCTGTAAATCAACCTAGCCCCCAGAGATAAGGATATTATCCTTCTCTGTTGGCCACCTCACTCACGACATGGTGCAACATTGATTCTTACATGCAATCATATATATTATACATATTTGTATAATAAAAAAGTATTTAATATTTTGCTAATGGGTGCTGATGGCTTTTCTCTCCCGTCATCTTGTGTCGTAATGATTGAACATCCTTTTGTCGTAATATTATGCCAAACCCAGCCTCGAAATTATTATTATAATTGATGCCGATTCACATTACTGGCAGAGAATTTTAGCGTGTCTTGCATAAACAATGAAGGAACCGGGAAAATGAAAGTTTCTTTATTCGGCGCGACCATAGACTAATAATAGTTGCTGGCTGATGCTGCTGACAATGAAAATGTATCCTATAATAGATGGCACTGCTTAATAGATGAAAATTCCACTGTGCCCTGAGATGCACCTTGAGTCTCTCATAGTATTCCCACATCCATGAAAGTGTTTTCTGCTCCGATTATTTCTTTGCGGTTGAATTATTTTCTCTGATCAAATAACTAATACAGATGTTTCAAAATTTAATTTTCTTCAATAATTTTATAACGACTTGCTTTATTAAAAAAAAACTTGGAACTGGACGCGTTGAGGTTTTTATTTTAATAAAATTTAAATTCTATTTTTTAATTTATAATTAATTATCAATGTGGTATTAAATCCCATCATAACAAATCAGCGCAGTATCAAAGATACTTGCGATGCAGCAATACCGTTTGTGACCTTTTTCGTGACTTCGCTCTTTCACCTTTTGCCGAAAGTGTCCCCCCGGGAGATAATGGGAGAATGATGGAGCTACCACAAAGATGCTTTCGAAAAACGTGATGTTAAAAAAGCATTCTGCGTGTCTCCGTTGACTGGAACTCATAAAACACGAGGAAAAGCGGCATGCTCATCGCATCTATTATACCTGAGCAGTCAAATTCCCTTTATCTTTTGTGCAATGCATATTGTATGTGATACAACACGTGCGTGTTATTAGTTCTGAACCGCGGCCGCAGGCATTAGTGAGAGGCTCAAAAAACCTAACTCTGTATATTATTGTAAAAATAATTTGTGAATTAATGGACAATTTAATAACCTTTTTTCCGTACCTTTTTAACAATGTTTTTATTTTTGTCTCATTTTTTTGTGTTTTATTCTGTGAAAACTTGAACGGTAACAAATATTTTAAAAGGTATTTTTTTTAAGCTTGAAAAATTGTTTTAGTACTTTGCACATCACAACTCAACTCCTCACATTATTTGGGTTGTAGTGAATCTTGAACACCTGCCAATCCCGCATTTTTCACACAACAGCAGAGACTCTTTATTTCAATTCATTTATTCTCTCGCAACAAGTCAAACAGAAAATTAAAAAATCACATTGGGAGAGAATTGGCAGCCAGCTCTAGTAAACAACTTACTAAAACTCATAGGCTCAATTTGGAAGCAAAAGTGTTTCCAACTTAAACCTACTCGCCGAACTGGAGCCGAACTTTGAGCACAAACGGCTGCAATGTGTGCTCACGTGCTTAATATTTATGCACCTGTCTTTTTTTTTAAAAAAATTGCGCCTCGAAGTCCCGTTCTCAAAATTAAGTTATAAATGTTTATCCAAGAATGAACTAATTTTAAGATTAATTTTTCCGAGCAGTATCAGCAATTAATAAACAAAATGGTCAGTCACATCAGTATTGGTGTAGAAAAAAACTTATGTTAATAAATTATAAAAATCATAAACAGAACTGGTTTTTCTAACTAACTTGCAAATACGGAGTCAAAAGAAAGGAGCAAATTATTAAATCAGGTCACTATTATTTTGCTTCATTATAATTTTAAATCGCGGAACAAAACAAAAATATCAAGCAGAGGACAGTGAGTTTCACCAATTTATATTTCACAACAAATTTTGAATGAAAAAAAGGAAATAAACATTGCAAACTCTTTAGCCTGTACTGCACTTTTGGGTTATAAGTTAGTCAATGCTCCGCGGTCACATTTTTATCAGCATTATTAGAGCTTTGCTCGGCTGGTGCTGGAGTCAGTACACCATTCTAAAAAAAGACCAAGTAAGATATTTCCTGAAAAAACATACAATTCATTGTTCCTGTTTGGGGCGTTTTCAGCATTTGAAGTTCAATGCCTGTAATGAACAGGAAAGAAAACTTCTGTGCGCTGGTTTTTCTTCAGCAGTTTTTTACTTCACTAAAATAAAATTCTAATATTTAAATGTCAAATTGGACGTTGAATATTAAAAGTTTATTGGCTTCTCCTCCTATCCAAAGCCCTCAAATTGGAATGAAAAGAGGTCAGTGTTGGTGCGATTGTGATTTTTATCAGAAAATATGATTCAGAATTTTACATTGCAACCAGCAGTGCAATCCAAGAGGCAGCTAAAAAGTCTATGCAATCAGTTTGATTGACATTTATTGCGCGAGTTTGAGTAATTCTTAAAAAATAATAGCCTGTTGCTATTTATTCAAGTTTTGTGCTCATTACCAACATTAGCTGCATGCCTTCCTCAACTCGTAAATTTCTTTAATAAAATATATGTGATCAGCAAATAAAATATTCATCTAATATTTTTTTCGCACATCAATGTTCAATATTTCAAATGTGAACATTTTGCAATTTTGAGATAATTATAGAGAATTGAATATATTTATTATTTAAATAATATTTAAAGTGTAGCGCAAACTTTCTGGCAAAATAAATTAAAATAAGTGTGTAAATCTGTTTCAAAGGGAAATTATTTTCTTGTTTAAAAAAAAAAATAGAATATTATATAATTAATTAATACTGATATTAACAAAAAATCCTAGTAAAAAACCATTTTGAGCTGAATTTGCATTTAAAGATATTTAAAATTTGGAAAAATATCATATTTTATGACGTTTCAAAATTAAAAAAGGTCAATATCAATCTGCTGACTCAGCTGACTCATCTCAGTTGTGCTAAACAAGCTGAAATCATCTAGAGCTGTTAAGATCAGAAGCTAAAAACACCATCCAACATTATCCTATTCTGACCCTTCTTTAATTTAGAGTTGAGTTATATTATTGCCATGATATATGATTGAAGGCAGTTGGAGGAACATAACAATAAGTATTAAGATGATAATCATTAAATTACTTTGGTTGGTAACTGGTCTAAAATGAAATATTTAATGCCGCGCTCTCAATTTAATAATATTTATATTAGCAAGAAATTAAATTAAGGGAAACATAATTCGTGTCCGTAATTGAATTCTTTGCCATGGCATCATTGACTTTTTGTTCTACAATTTTATAATAAAATCTGTAAATTTCTAATTGAGTTTTTTTCCATAGCCCTTAGTTGATAATTATTGTTGAAATAAAGTCCGGTGGAGATGAGCAATTTTTTTCTAGGGTCAGGCCAAGACAAGGTCTTGTAGGCCTGTGCCCTTTTTAGTGGCGCAGAAGGCGCCACTCAATTTTGTCTTTTTTAATTTTGATTAATGATTGATTCTGCATGCCACAGAAAATCCCTGCTCTACTAGTTTCGGATTTTATTTCAACAAAAATGCCCACCTCGAGTGCCAAAAGGTTGCACAACAACAACTTCAAGAACCTAAACAGAAACTTTATAATTATTGTTGCAATTTTTGTTTCAGGAGCTGGGATTGTTGAGGTAACGCCGTCTGCCTTTGAGCAGAAAAGTGACGAAAATGAAGCAAAAACAGCCGCAGCCAACATATCTTCTATTCAAAACCAGACTGAAAGTCCAAGTGAGTAGTTTTTGTGTGTAATATTATAATATTGTAATAATAAAAAATTGACTACATAGTGTGATTTTTTTAATACAATTTTTTTTTGCGTTTTTATGTGTTACAGATCAACACACGTATTTCCTTGTGTTAGATGAGAACGCTCTAGTCCTAGGAGATGGGGCGTGCATGCTAGAAAACAGCATGATCCAACCAGAGGACATGCTTGAATGAAAAGGTAAGAAAAATTTGCTTCTGCAAATGAAATATTTCCAATATGTTTACAAACAAAGAAATAATTCAAAGCAAATTAAAAATTTAAAGAAATAAAGAAAAAAAATCTTTTTAAAATATTTTTAATTTATTTGAAATTCAATTATATTATCTTCTAGTTATCAGTTTACTTTTACAACAGTAAGCTCTTTCAACAACAAAGTGAATAAATTATTTTGAGCCATTTTTAAGACCATTAAATTATTTTCCTTTGTAAAGGGTTGCAGCAAAAATGTATTAATTTTGTAAAAATCAAAATAAGACAGAAGATTTATATATTCTGTCATTTAGTTTTTATATATCAACTATGTATGTACACGAGGAAATCAATATTAGAGATGATTATAATATCAGCTTCATATTATTGTGACAAACTTATCAGCATGTCATTATTTTCATGTTATGCCCTATGCTTTTAGCTTGGCCGCGAGTCCAAGAGATAAAAGCTTAATGTGCTTGTTTGTAACAACAATAAAAATTGGAAACTAATAAAAATAATATTGTTGTACTTTTTACGATCAGTGTTTGGTTTGATCATTTATTAATTTTACATATTATAAAATGCAATTATGATATTCTTTCTATAATTTAAATGAAACCGTAATTCAAATCTTATTTGCGCCAAGAGATTGTCTATAATATTTTGTACTTACTTAAATTATTTGATTTTTACCCCTGAATTATTCCTCATTTTTTGGTCATTGCTGTCATATAAGTGATGATAGTTAATAGTTTTAATGGGTAGAGCTAGTAAGTGAAACTTAACAGCGTAGCACACAATATCAATTATGATAATATTTTATTCCAAGTTAAAACAATCAATTTTATACTAAATGGTTTTTTTTTTGTCATCAATATAAAATTATTTGGTTGAAGATAAATTCAGTATTTATTGAGTATTTATCTTCAAAATGATTTTAGATCAATATTATCTGTTAAATAAATTTTTAAATACATTATATTCTATTACATTCTTTCATCAAATATATGAAAATGATAAGTAAAAAATATATTTTTGCCAAGACTTTAAGACAAGTTGCAATTAAAAAAAATGTTTTTCATATTATTACCATATTCGCGACATCCTGATATCAATCGACTTGCCCAGTTCACTGACGCGAATGACAGCCCTACAATTGACGTCGTCTCCTCTCTTCGTGTCTACTTTTTGGATGCAAGTGCAAATGTGACCTGCTGCCAAGAAATCTTTCCTGAAACACGTATTTCTATTTCCTGACCTGATTTACAGAACCAAAACCTCAAAATCTGAAACTTGACCAGGACGTCCGGACTCTGCCGGAATAAAACTTCAAGATTTTACGTCGTATGATCTTTAAAAATACTTAAAAACATAGATATTATTGTATTGTGTAATAATGAGTGAGTATTTGAGTAGTTATTCATTATTTTAACCTTAAAATTAAAAAAAATTCAAAATCGCCAAAAATTGCGCAATTCTTTTATTATACAAATCAAACGAAATGATAGCTAGATATTATGACAATGGGTGGACCTACTCTGATAAGAAACTGCTTTTGTCTTGTGAAGTATGAGCATCTCATCCACTTGTGCTTTTGTCTTTGCTTGGTGAAAACCTGTCTTTTTGAAAATCCACCAATTTGTATACTCTTCCAGCGTGACAACGGGGCGAGATGGCAGATCGTCGCGAAATATACAAAAGAGTGGGTTCTAAGAAATTACAGGAATGGCACGATAATAAACTTTTGGAGTTTTCGGAAAATGAGGATTTGTCCAAAGCCTTTAAGTCTTACGTGTCAGAAAAAATCCATAAGGATGTTGCAGAAGTATGGGACCTGCTGCGAATCGGCACAATTGCCGAAAATAACCATTCAGCAGGCCAGCAAGAGGCGAGGAAGAAGGCGCTGGATATTCTAAAGGAGTTGGATAAGAATAATGAACTGGAGAGACTGCAAATGGAAGCTGTGAAGCTGAACCTCGAGAAAAATAATGTTGCCTTGAAAACAGTATTTGACAGTTTGAACAAAGACCTTACTCCTCGCCCTGCGGATGATTTCAGATTGGAAATGAAATCATTCGGTACTGTTCAGAGCTCGAATAGAGGCAAGTATTGCAAAAATTATGTGTATCAGATTTATCACAATTAGATGTCTTTAATTTTTATAGCATCCTGTTATTGTCCCAACCCAATTGATTCAAAGCTATTTTTTGGCGCAAGTTTAATTTTAATTATGATTAATATGGCTATAAATCACTATAAAGCGACAATAGATTGTGAATGCAAGCACTGCATTAATAAGTGCTCACAATACCATATTCTAGAATGTAATGAACGGAAACTAAGCCTCAGAGAGGCTGCAAAAATAAAAATTAACGAACTTTGTATTTTGCAAATAATTGTCTAAACAAGCTTAATTGTAAAACTTGTTTTAGGAAGACGAATTAGCTCTCTTTAGACACCCGTTGTACACCTAGTTGTGTTCAATAATACTCTTTCTATATTAGTAAAAGAACGTACAGATTTTAAAAATGAACTGATCAGATAGATTTTTAACTTTTCCTTACATCGATGTTAGGACAAGTTAAAATTTAGCGTAATATCCATAATATTTTATTTTCTGTTTTTATCTAGACATTGAAAATACTACTACGCAGCAATACAAAATGTTCATATTTTGCTTATTGTTAATGAACTTCAACGCACACTTTGTTGCAGGGAATTAGAAGAAAAACAAGTAAAACCCTGATGTAATGCTGATGGACTTCACCCGAACCAACAATTGATGACTTGATGCGATTTTTCTGCGATTCATTTACCTTGTCAAATTACAAGGAAAATAAAAAGCATTAAAATTACGTGTTTTTGTTTTGTTTTGGATCGAATCAATATTTTTAGAAAAATTGAACCAGACTTAACCTCGATGAAAAAAATTAAGGACGGTTAAATGGGCATTTTGAAACAAAAATTGCAGAATCCCTATCACCAGCTTTAAGTGTCTGGCAGAAATTTAGTATGAAGTTAACTGGCCCAGTAGCTAAAAGTGAATTTCTGCAGTTTTTTTTTTTATCAAAATTTCTCAATATTTTTTTTATTATCCTATAATTTCCTCTCCATAGTAATTTGCATGAACACAAGAAACTTTGTTCAAAGTAGCAGCGCAATCCACCTTTTTGGATCAGTTGTCCTTCATTGGTTAGAAAAGTCCAGCCGGTTACATTTTTCCATGAGTACTTGAGTGATAACGTTTAATTTTTAGTTTTTATCATTGATATATAACATACAACTGTCTGATACAATAATAATAGTCTTATCGTTTTGTGGCAGGCGTCTTTAAACCAATTTTATTTGTCAGCACACGCTTAAACCGACCCCAAAAGACAATTATTGGATTTTCCTTTTATTCAAAGAATATATATAAAAAAAAAATATAAATAAATCATATTCATACTGCGTGAATATTTTAAATACATATATATTTTCCAGCCATAAAAATACAATGTTGTATACAAATTTGAAAATTTTAAATATGCGCAGTCATACAAATATTTTCTTTTCAATATTTTTCAACATTGTAATTTGAATTAATATTGGTCAATTATTTATTCAATGCTCATTTCTCATAGGTCATAGGGCAAAGCTAAAAATTAAGCAGTCCGATTTTTATTTTGAAAAATTAAGAATGACACAAGAAGAAAATCCTAGTTTTTCTACCGCCATTTGCCTTTTGTCAGCTATTATTATTATTGTTTATTCTTCACAAATCTCAGAAAAATCTTCAGAAGGAAAGAAAATTACAAAATTTGAAGAAACGGCAACACCTCTGGCAAACAGGTTGCTTAAACGCGGGGCCTCAAAAGGGGTGCGCGCCGAGATATGGTCTGCAAGCCAAGTGCGTCCTTTATCTTTTTCATTTTTTCAACAAGGTTTTAATGATAAAAGCCGCTTTCAATTTTTCATGAAATCCATGTCACCAAGTTCATTTCAGATATTCTTCTTACTTCTTAGTTTCATTGTGTCGAGATGTGTGGTTTTTTGGGTCTCTGTCGTAAAAACGTTTGAAGATTTCAAAATTTATTTCAATTAATTATGTCATACTTCTTGCTTTTTTTTTATCTTGATAATATTTTGCAATACGGTCAATACTGACTGAATTGTTCCAAGAACTCAGTTATTGTTCGTCTTATCTTAAGCGTCATTTTAACTAATTGTGTCATTGCCTTCATCAATGACATATTTATATAGCCAAATTAAAATTTGTATCCGATTTTACTTGCTTCAAAGGACACCCAAAGTAAAAAAGCAGGTGGATTTTATTCAAGATACATTTTATTTCCTCTCATACTAGTGCCAAACAAAGCGTGCGAACATTTATTATATTATATTATCGCGTCCCTTAATTCCCAGCGTATATTGAGCAGAATTGCGCCGAAGAAAAATTTCATAGGTGCCACAGTCAAGCGAGAGCGCAAAATAGTTGTGTGCACTGCGCAAAGACTACAAACTCACTTTTACTCCCAATAAACTACAGGCAAAAATCTCTTAATAACTGAAAAGTTATTTTAAAATTTTGGTGCTTCTCATGGTTAACTGAAATAATTTTATATTCCTTAAAAAATGGATCAAATAGTTAATTTTAAGGGAAGTTTTGAACACAGAACTAATAAAGTGTATCGTTTAACTTTCCCATCCCATTAAAATTATAACGCATTACACCGTACACAAATCCTGAAACGTTTTCTTTTTTTAAAACCTTCAGATATTATCTTATTATCTGATGACATGAATAAAACTCTATCTACATTATATTTTGCCTTTATTTTATCTTAAAAGTACACAGTTTTAATCACGCATACACAAACACTATGAAGGTGGCAAACAATACAGTATACATTAATATTATTAATTCCATCATGAAGTTCATTAAGTTGCAGGTCTGCATCATCTGCACCTTTTCGTACGGGGATCAAAGATCATGTCAGACCTATGGCAGTATCTCCTTCTTGTCGCATCTCTTATCACTCCATGCTTATTTTGAAATAATATAGGTATAGGTAGCCTTGCAGCAAATCCTAAAAGGACGGTTGAAAGACACAAACAAATCAATAGCAGATACTTTGAATTCATGATTATTGCTAGCGGTCTCACTCTATTCTCGGGAGTAACAAATTGCTGTTTCAATTTATAATATATGTTTATACAGAAACAGAAACTGATGGGCGATGGCCTTTGCGAGGGATGTGTGATTGCTGGGGGAGGGGGGATATTATTTATTGTATAAAAAGGAAATTGTCACCACTTGTTGTTTACTTCACCAAATAATGAGAAGAGTTTATTTCACTGAAGATAAAATTTTTTTAAAACTGTGATATTAAACTATAATAAAAGGATTTTAATTGTGAGTGTAAAAATCAATTTGCTCCCATCATACATTGCTCCAATATTTAATCAAACTATCAACATTATCGTTCGCCTCACTTACACTTATTCAACAATAGTAAAATACGTAAAATACATAATTATTATACGCACTTTGTTACTTCACTCCAAATTCTCAGCTTTTTTATTTATTATTATTGTTGATGTCTATTCTTCACAAATCAAGTCAAATTTATTATAATAATTTTATGTGTGTAAAATTATTTTTTCCACTTTCTCAAATTCATGACCAATACCGTCATTATACCAACTGACGGGTTTCAAAGAGTAATGCACAATTTGCTTTATTTCATTATTCATTAGACTAATGAGCAACGACTGAAACATTAATAAGCGGCATTAAGATCTCTTTTTCTGCGTCGATCTCGTCGATCTATCTTATCTCTGGGGCTAATAGTAAGTCAAAAAGCAGGCGGATTTTATTCAAGACACATTTTATTTCCTCTCCTGTGCCAAACGAAGCGTGCGAACATGCATTATAAAACGCGTCCCTTCCCAAGCGTCTTTGACTTTAATGCATTGCGCGGAGGAAAAATTTCGGAGGTGCCGCAGTCAAGCGAGCGACGTAGTCGTGTGAACTGCGTGCGATAGGACGGGGCCGCGTGTACTTCCTGTGTGTGTGCCTGTATTTGCGGTGCGCCCCGTGTTAAAACATTCCGAGTGTAGCTTTAAAAATAGCTCGCGAGCCGAATTACTTGACGTTCAGAAAAAAAGCAGGCGCGGTGTGTGAATTCCAAAGTAAATTTGGCCAGGAAGAGAATAAGCAGTCGATTGTTATATAGGAGATTACGTTAGGGTCGTGACCCGCGACTCGAAAACGCGCCCTACGTTATCGATCACCGCGAACCCCTTGTGCGCTTGTCGCGTGCAGACCTGCGCCTTCAAACATATGAATCCACTAATTGCGTGTTTTCAAACTCGCGACGACGGCGAGATGTCAATGGAGGAGCGCCAGAAAATTTACAAAAAAGTGGGTTTCCAGCGATCGGGCGAGTGGTGCGACTTGAGACTTGGCGAATATCAGGAAAAGGAATTGGTCGAAGCCTTCAAGTCCTACCTGACCGAGCACCGCAACAAGGAGACCGCAGAAGTGTGGGACCTGCTGCGGAAAGGTACTTCGAGGGAAGACGTGCTGGAGGCGCTGAGTAACGGGGTGGCTGAAGTTCCGAAATTTGTGAGGGACGACCTCAGGGACAATGTTCCCCTGAAAATTGTGTTTGACAGGTTCAACGACGAAGACTTAGGCAGTTCTCTTATTCACGAATTCAGAAATGAAATCAACGAGTTCCGCCTGAAGCACAGATCGCAGGCCCCCTCGATAAGGCAAGTCTTGTGCTGCGAAATCATGCGTTTCAAATTTCACGTTTCAAGAGCGTACACTTTTATTGCGGTCTTTAAGAGTTTATTAGTCCCAATTATTGATTTACTGCTAGTTTTTATTGGCACAGGCCAGTTTTATTTTTTAATAATTTATTAAAAAAATATTAAATATTTAAATTCAATTCATTTATTCAAATACAAAACGAAAAAAAAATGTTAACAATGTAGTCAAAATATTTTTCTGTGATTCGTATATCTTGACTTAAAAAATTAAAATAAAATTTAACTCTTAAATTAATTGGAATTAATCACTATGAAGTCATTAAATAACATATTTTAATCAGTTTTACTTATCATTACACACATATTGACCTCCTCAAAATTTTGTTTGTTACAGTGAGCAACAGAAGAAAAGTTGCACTCTGTTCTAATTTCGACGCTGATGGACTTCACTTCGTCACCAGTGTCAACCATGTCACTTAAAGTTTGTCGTGTCTCCAGGCGACGAAAAAAATTGTGATTTTAACAGTTAAGTCATATTAGATAAATTGTTATGAAAATGCTGCTAATATTGAGTAAAGTTGAAGAATAATCAAGACTTGTTGTTATGAGAAAATAAATAAAAGCGTTGCAATCCTCCTATTAAAGGAAGTTGTTGAGATATTTAAAGATGCTTATGGCGGTTGAGTAAGCTGATTTTGCCTCAGTTATCACAAATGTACAAAAAAATTAAATAGTTTTGGGTTTAAAAAATCAAATTGGGGTTTTAATTATTGTAAATTAATATACGCGGTGTTAAACTTCTTTAATTTAAGTCTCGTCTTTACTGTGTAGCTAAAAATTGATGCCTTATAAAAATAAAATTTAATTACTTTCTGAAAAACTGCTTTTTCTTATACTTTTTTTAGATTAATTTCACCCGAGGAATATTTTATCTTCAAAGAAAATATCATTTTGCAATGGAATAATATAGTTTAATATGCGTTGTACAACTAAAATGCATTTCACATTGAAGAATAAAAATCGGCTCTAGCGCAGCCCTCAACCCCTATTACCATCAAATCACAAGGTAGAAACAAACTTGCATATATTTCATAAAATTTAGCATAAAATTAGTCAAAGCTGATGAGCTCCGCAGTCTGGGTGTTAGGAGGTTGCTGGGGCGGGGGTGGCTGCTGCTGCTGCATTTGAGGAGCGTGTTGGGGAGAAATCATAGGAGAGGGTTGTCCGTAGGGTGGCTGCATCATCGGTTGTCCCATTTGTGGCTGCTGCGCGTATCCAGAAGGTGGTTGCATCTGCATAGCACCAGGAGGAGGCAATTGGGCACCTGGGGGCATACCCTGGTGGATCATGCCCTGTGGAATCTGCTGCGGCGCCCCGGGTGGTGGCATTTGTCCAGCAGGGACACCCATCGGCACTCCAGGGGGCATCTGAGGAGCCCCTGACGGAGCAGCACCCATGGGCATGGCCTGCGGTTGAGTGGTCGGGGGGCCCATTTGCGGCGGCATGGACCCCATCGGGGGCTGCATCATCATTCTAGGCTGGTACTGCTGGTAGTCAGGGTAAGGTGGGTAGTGACTGGCTGGAGACATCGCGTGCGGCGGAGGCGGCATCGCGCCGTACTGCTCAGGAGGATAGTGCTGGGGCGGGAAGGGATAACCAGAGCCCATCGCCATGTAATGCTGCTTCTGCTGCTCCTGGCGCATTTGCATCTCTCGTTCTTGCTCCTAAAGGCAAATATTTAATTTAAAATTAGTTGGAAATACCATATATAAGAAATATAAAATTTCTCTATGGATATTTTATTTAATTTTAAATTTATTTTTTTTAGTTGATAAATAAATATTTAATATTAATTTGTTACAAATAACATAATATGTTGATTAGTAAACTAAATATTGAGATGTCTATTTTAATTTTGTATATTTTAGGATTTACCTGAATGCGTTGCAAAGCTAAGTGTCGTTGGTACTGCAGGTACTCCTGTTTCTTCTGCCTCATCATGTCTAATTTCTGCGCCATCTGCATCTGCCTGATGCGATCTTGCTCCTCAGCCTGCCTCCGCAGCTTTTCTCGGTGTTCCTCTCGAAGCGCATCTAGAGCAGCTCTGGCGTCTCGCAACTGCGCCAACTTGTCCTGCAGGCCTTCAAAGTGGATGCGCCTGTCTTCTTCCTCAGTGATGTGCTTCAGCAGTTGAGAATGCATGGAGGTGATGTTCAAGAACAACGTCTGGACCGAACTATCGTTGGCGATGCTACGACCGCGACTCGAGTTGCTCTTCATGCGGTTTACAAAAATTTCAATCTGGCTTCGCAGGGTTCGGATGAAGTCCTCTAAATTTTCATTGCCTCCGTTTTCCTGGAACTTGCGAGGGCTCAGGTGCACGGGAGACCCCAAGGAAGTGGTGCTGGCTGTAGCAGGAGCGCTGGGCAGACCTTCCTGTCGCTGCTCCCAATACCCTCTGTTCAAGTAGCGAGCCAGTTCGCCAGTGTTCTCTCCATTGTCTAACTTCAACTCGGTTTCCAGCTGTAGCAAAAAAAATCAATGAAAAACAAATAAAATAATTTTCCCTCAAAATTACATACCTGCTTGCTTGGACTGTTCTGCGACTGTTTGTAAGCCGAGTTGATCATTTCCGTACGCATTCTTTGTTTCTAAATTTAAAATATTCTAAATAGGCACTTATTATAATTTGCAAATACATACCTCACGCTCCTTTTCCTTCTCTTCGGCCTCAGATTTTGACAGTGCCAATGCCAACTGAAACTCTTCTTCCTCCCTCAACTCTTCCTCAGTTTTTTTAGCAGGGGTCTACAGATGTGCAATTAATGAAGTTATTGGAAATATTTTTTTATAAGAAAAAAAAAATACCTGTGATTGCTGAGCCAATGTGCTGGCTAGATATTCAGCTGGCAGTTCTGCCTCACTGCCCTTAATCGCAGGCCCAGGCCTTTAAAATCAGAAGTCATTAAAAATTAGAGGCTGATTTAATAAAAAAAAACTTACTTGTTGACTTTCTCAAAGCATGACTCACAAACTCGGACTTCTTTTTCGATGCCGAACTTGGGCAGGGTGGAGGTCTTTGCTGAGCATTGGTTGCAAAACACTTGTCCGCACGCTCGGCAGTGGTGCTAATGCCAAATAATAAGTAAGTAAATTTAATAATGATTATGATTAATTAGTACCTTTCTTTGCATCATTGAGAACTGCACTCGGCAGCGATGGCAACATTCGCCCTCAGCCCATTCTGGAGCTGTGTCAGCAGAGAACATGGCATCACTCTCCTTGAGCGCTGGGAACTGGTAGCCCTCGGTCTTGAGAATATTGACCTGGTCCTGCAATGGAAAATAATTTGATCAAGTAAAGATAAGACCACCTTTAAGAAAAAGAGACATCATCGCATATTATTTCCTCTTCAACGTCAGACATTTTCTTCGTCAAAAAAGAAAATTCCAACACTAGTTAGCGCTCTAATTTAATTAGCACTGGAAGCCACTTATGTCATGTAACAACCAAGAGCAACTCCATCTGAATTTGAGGCTGTGAACTCACCTGGACTGGTCGGTATTTGGCAGAGTTGCGGAACGCATGGGCCCAAACTTGCAACAACTCCAAGCATTTGTTGCGAACATTCTCATGAGGCGAGCTTTTGACCAATTCCTGCATCTGCTCCATGTACGCTCGAGTGCCTATCTCGTCATGGATCAAGTTGCCGCAATTCTTTACAGCCGACTCAAGCACCTAACAAGTTAACAATTTCCTTATTTTTTAATAGTTTGATAGTTGTTTTTAAGATTTACCTGCAGTCCAAACATGGCCACGTGTGGATTCGCATGGTAGATTTTCTTCTTGATGGCAGTCAGTGCATATTTCGCCCTAAATTAACACAAGATCAGTTTATTTGCTTGAATAAATATTTCATATTAAATCATACGGAACGTCACTCTGGCGAATCAAATCACATATTTGTATGATTGCGGGCCAGTCAGGCTCCAAACGAAGGTTGCTAGTTGCCCTGTCTGAAATAAAAACACATTCGTTATTGTACACATGCCATAATGTAGTTTTTAAACTAAGTACGATCAAATTAAAATTCTAAGCATTAAAATACAAAAATTTGAGTACGACCTATGTGACCGAGCAATATGAATTATTTAACGACTCAACTTAAATATTTATACAAGAGGGGTCTGGAATCTGGAATGATAATGACAAATAATTCTAGTCTGTTGTGACTCACTGCGATTGTTTTGGAACACATTTTTAACACCGATTTTAAAGTCTTGGACAAAAGGTTAGTGCCTACCTAAAAGCTTGTCAAAAGTTGAAGAGGTCCGAAACATTTTTTGAGCGTCCAGCGGAAGGCAGGGTGGAAATTTCGCCTCTAAACTTTAACAAATAGCAATCGGGAAAAGAAACGTCAAACACGGGCGGTGATGGACGACGTCACTCCCTCTTCTCCCCAGCCCAGCTGCAGCAGAATCGATAGCAGCGCCCTCAACTTGCACTTTGCTTTGTTTTGTTTTCGCAAAATTTTCGAGTTGCCGTTCGCGCTGGGCGCCGTGTTTGCGGAAACTTTTGCGAATTATCACGGCCAAGCATTAAGATTAAGATCTGGGTAAAATCCATGGAATTATTTTAATTATTTAGTGAAAAATAAAACATTTATTTAAATTACAGATTTTGGATCACAGTCGGACCTATCTCGACAGAATCAAAGCGGCGTGAGATTTCTCTTTGACAGCTCAGACAAAAGTTTGCTCCAAAATTACAAACAAGCTCTCGGAATTCCAAGGCTTATCAGAAAATGGTCTTCTATTTTACAAGTGATGGTTGGTTTAGTTATCGAAAAAAGTTATAAAAATCATTCTGAATATTTTCATTTATTTTTAGTTGCAACTCCGCCGGTGACATTGTTTATGGGCTTGGACAAATATGAGAGTAAATTTATTTTAATATTATTAGTAAACGTTAATTTCAAGATCTACTCATTTTAGATGAAGACCTAATTAAATGGGGTTGGCCAGAGGATGTGTGGTTTCACGTCGACAAGGTTTCGTCAGCCCATGTGTATTTGAGACTCAATCCGGTACTATTCAAAATTTATTTACTGAGAAAATTATAACCAATAAGTTAATTCTAGGGTCAGTCGCTGGACGATGTCCCGGCAACCGTGATTGAAGAAGCAGCTCAGCTGGTGAAAGCCAACAGCATCAGTGGCAACAAAATGAATGACATCGACGTTGTCTACACCATGTGGGCAAACTTGAAAAAGACGGACAGCATGGAAGTTGGCCAGGTTGGATTCCACAAGGAAAAAGAGGTGCTCTTTAGCAAAACCTTGCAGAGGTTGATATTTAATTTGAAGTGCTATAGGTCCGAAAAATTAGAGTGGCCAGACGGAATGCCGAAGCAGTCAACCGTCTGAACAAAACCAAAGTCGAAAAACAAGTAGACTTTCGGGCAGAGAAGGAAAAGAGAGATAGACTTGAACGCGAGGACCGGAAGAAACAGTTGAAGGAGCAAAAGGAACAGGAGAAATTGGATCAGAAACGGAAGCAGGAGGAGGCTGAAATAAGGCAAAGAATTATAAGATTTTCTGCAATTCTAATACTAATTAAAAACTATTGCAGAAGTTACAGCTCTCTGATGAAGAGTGAAAACATGAAGTCCAACCTGGACGGAGGTAGCGACTCAGACGACTTCATGTGAACAAAGTTGAAGTGGGTCTGAACAAAATGAGGCTCACTTGCATTGTAAATTGGTGTCTATTTGGTCGAAAATTTTCAAAATGTAAAAGATACAAAAAATTAATCATCTTTTGATTCTTTTCTGTCCACATTGACGTTCACTGCACTGAGCGCATCACAAACCCAAGTTGGGAAGTTTCGGTCTGGATACAACTTATCCAAAAAGTCTTGAACAAACTGGGGAAACCGATCTTCTTTAATACTTCCCCTTATGCCTCTCATCAGTCGCATCTAGAAATTGCTACAATTTTTTTCTGTATATTTATTTTGCAAAATATTTTACCTGATAGGCCAAGTTGTGGATGGTCAGCATTTGGCATGCTGACGACTCAATCTTCACAATCGTGTGTAGGAAAGCTCTTGTGTACCTCTGGCAAGTGCTGCAGTCGCAATTTTTGTCAATCGGTGCAAAATCTGCTGCATACTTTTGCTGCTTCAAGTTCAACTGTCCGGAATCAACAAGAGCACATCCGAATCGGGCCGTTCTGGTCGGAAAGACGCAGTCAAACATGTCGATTCCCAGAGCACAACAAACCACAAGGTCAAGAGCAAAACCAACGCCCATCAGGTAGCGGGGCTTGTCCTTGGGCAAAATATCTGTTGAGAGGTGGACGGCGCGCCAGAATTCGTCTTTACTCTCACCACCACTTAAAATGAAAAAATTAACATCAAATTAAAATACTAAAATATTTCTGACCTTAAACCGCCTACTGCAAATCCATTTACATTCCTTTCCACATGAAGTTTTGCAGACTGCTGACGAAGTTCAGGGTCTAAACCACCTTGGACAATCGGAAAAATGTTCTGCGTTTCTGGGTTTTTGTGGGCTGCGATGCACCTGTCCAGCCATCGAGTGGTTCTGTGTCAAAAATTTTAATCAAAACGTTTTACACAGTCAAGCTATTTTTTTTTACCTGTGCATTGCTTCTTCCACTCTTGGACCAGTAGTGGTTGTTTTAACGACGTCGTCCAGTTGCATAATTATGTCAGCGCCAATTGCGTTTTGGATTTCTATTGACCTCTCCGGGGTCAACATGCACGGTGAACCTAAATTTCAAATTAAGAAATTGATATTAATTTTTTTTAAACAATAAGATAAGGAATCAACAAACCGTCAAATGGAGAAGAGAAATTAACTCCTTCCTCAGTTATTGTGGCCAATTTAAGCAAAGACACCATTTGGAAGCCGCCTGAGTCTGTTAGAAGAGCTCGTTTCCAGTTCATAAATTTGTGAAGACCACCAACTTTGGCCATTAGCTCAGGACCCTTTGAAGAATTTTTTTTTAATTAAAATAAATTTCATTATTATGTTATTACATACCGGCCTTGTTCCAAGGTGATAGGTATTGCCGAGTATAATTTGGCAGTCAAGCTTTTCTAGCTGCTGCGGTAGAATACCTTTCATGGTACCCTGCAAAAATATTAAAAATATGGGTACATAATTTATAGAAAGATTTAAAATTCAATGTTAGTGTTCAGACGAACTTGTGTTCCAACGGGCATAAAAACAGGGGTCTCCACTGTGTGATGTGGAAGTTCGAGTAAACTTGTCCGAGCTTTGCTTATTGAGCACTCAGCCAAAATTTGGAAAGCAAGCGGCTTCGTCTTGGTTCCCATCCTGATAGTCATGAATTTTCTTCAGCACACTTCAAACGGAGCTTCACTAAAAAATACAAAATATAAATTCAACTGATTTCAGCCAAAATCAAATAATTTTATCATATTAAAAAAATTACTTACACACACGTGTGAGTTCTGCTTATGTTTTTATCGTTTCTGTTTATTATCATGCCGCCACTATGCCAGCATTGCCAGCCGCAGCCGCAGCCGAATTATTTTTTTTCCTGTTCTCCGATTCCCCCTCCGGTGGCGCTGATGGGGTGGGCGGGTGGCCCTGGTCAGCGGACGCACGCGCTCTGGATGGAATGGCCAAAATAAAAAAGTTCCATCTGATAGGTGTTGTGGAATGTGGATTGAGTCGCGAAAACCCAAAACAAAGAAGGTCTATGAAGTTTCCTTCGATTTTCGCATTGCGAGGTTCGAATTGAACGCGTTTCGACCACAGGCAACATTTCCAACCCTCCAAAAATGTCAACAGAGAGCGCAGAAAAGTGGGTTCCGCTCTCGCTGACCCTTGTGGAATACCCAGAAGGTATAACGATTGAAACTGCTGTATAGTGAAAAATTGATTTTTTTTCACGATCCGCAACGCCTGAAATTGTATTGATTTTTAAAATTTTCCTCTTATTCTAGGAGACTACCTTGGAAAACTGCTTGCCCTGTTCAGCTTGATTCCCTTTGCCATCCTGGCTGGTTTTGCTGCTCTTATTTTATTCCGCAGGGACTTGCACACAGTAAAAAATAGCTGACCCTGTTGGCCCGACTCATATTATTGACCCTTTAATTTTCTCAGATAACTTTCTTCATTGGCACGGCTGCTAACGAGCTGCTAAATCTTATCTTGAAACACACAATTTGCGAAGCAAGACCAATGGCAAGAAACAGTCTGTACACCGAGTATGGAATGCCTTCGTCACACTCACAATTTATGTGGTTTTTTGCCACATATTGTGTCCTCTTTGTTCTCATAAGGTTTGCTAATCTAGAAATTCTAATTTTATTAAAATCCTTTGATTACTTTTTTTCCCGCAGATTGCATCACATGAACAATAGCAGTACCCTCGAGAGCTTTTGGAAGCTAGGATTAGTTTTTGGCTGCATTTCCCTGGCAATAATTGTTGCCTGCGGAAGGTATGATATATAAAATAATTATAAAAATTTATTTGAGGGTACGTTGTAAATTTCAGAGTTTATCTACATTACCACTCATGGAAGCAAGTTCTCGTTGGTTCATCTGTGGGCATAGTTTTTGCAATATTCTGGTTTGCAATGACTCACTTAGTCTTTTCTCCTCTCTTCCCAACTATTGTTACTTGGTAAAAATATTAATGAAATATTTTATGTCATAATAATATTTTAAATTTCCTTTCAACACACACTGAACATATATTGTCTTTCATTACAGGAAAATTTCTGAGCTGCTATTGATTCGGGACACAACCTTGATTCCGAATATTATGTGGTTCGAGTACACAAACACAAGGCAAGAAGCTAGGGCTCGTGGCCGCAAGCTCGTTACCATGAAGTCCCAATGACGGCATCGCCCAGCGTCGATGACCAATACTCGAAGCATGCTAGGCCGCTTGGCGAAGATTTGCAGGAGAGCCAACAAATAAATAACAAGTGCACCCATAGGAGAATAATTGTTACTCAATGGCTGTGATTGTCCTGCAGTAATGGTGGATGCACACCAGTACGCCCTCAAGGCTGACTCGGCAGCTTAAGACATTTTAATAATCAAGACCTTATGGTTAGCAACCGCAACGCACAAATCAGTCTTTAGCAATTTATTCCATTACAATATACATATATTTAAAATACCGACTGCAGTCCCATTCATTGAAGTCTAGATGTGACAAATTTGATGTATTTGTATTGCCCTTACACAATAAGCATTTATTGTTTTGATAAATATACTCTTTCCATTAATTCAGTTTGCAGCGGCTTTATGATATTTGTGGAGCTTGTGTGCGATTCTGGTCCACTTGATGGAACGGTTTGTGCTTGAAATAACTCTGCGTTTTGGATTTTTATAAATAACTGTGGAAATTGAAGCCCATGACATATTATTGAGCTCTCGAGAACAAAGTGATGTTAGGAGTTTCCACTCATATTTTGTAACTTTGATGTGACACAACTCTGGTGCACCCCGTGTGGTACTTGTCGCTGATCTATATTTACAAGATTTTAAACCTGATTGTCAAAGGAGATCTGCTGTTGTACTTAACAAATTGATCGCCACAGCTTGTTTGTCACTGTATCACAGACACAGCAGCTACCGTTTTGTTGCTCACTTTTTTATATGATTTCTGATGTTTGGAGTTTGCATTTAAATAAATCAAAATATGTTGAAGCGTTCTTTGTTATTCCTGGCGTTTTAAAAATTCAAAATTTGCTGGAGCGTTTTGTTCAAGACAAGTTTAGAGGGTTCCTCATAGCTAATAACAAAGTCATCCTCCCACCTAGTACAGCTTCTGCTAATGGGTGCCTTTTCCCCTTGGAGGAGGCATACACAGCCACGGTGTTTTCCTTAACCAAGTGCCACCCACTCTTTTATTTTGAGTAAAATGTTTTTAACAATTTTGAAAACATAAGAACATGATTATAATGACTCTTTTGGCATAACCATCAACAAAGTTATTTATAGGTATCTAAATGTATTATGAAATTATTAGAACTGTTAATTTTTTATTTATTTGTTTTTTATTATGGAATAAATGGTCATTGCTGTAGCTCTTAGGGAAATCAATACACAAATTATTATCAAGTATCCCAGCACAATACCAAGAGGGAAAAAAGTCTTATAAGCTCAATTACCTGCATTTGATAGTCAAAATTTGATGCGCCTCATACGGCAATGTAAATTTTATGCAAGTGCAATCATAAATTGAAAGAAATCGGACAAGCTTTGCTTTGTCCTACTTTTTGCCATTTACGGCTGGAACTTTTTTGCCTGCTACCTTGTTTGTGATTTCACCATTCTCAGAAGCCTCTTGTTTGAGTAGGACAGGCAGAAAAGACTCTGTTGGCACATCAGACCAAGGATGCAAACTACGAGCTAAAGCACACACTCGGAAGGCAGCCTAGAAAAATAGCAACTAGGTTTTGTATCTTCACATTAAAAATGAATTCTGTTACCTCTTTCTCTGCCCGATCTTTGCGCTTGAAGAATTTGTGGCGCAACGTGTACAATTTTCTGCACTCAGACTTTGTCATTTGAACAACTAAGGAATAGAATTAATTGCAAATTATAAAGTAAAATAAAAAGTCAAATTACTGATTGGAGACTGCAGAATTTTGGACAGTTCATTCTCATTGCCTTCACATGCCCTCGACATGGTCAAATGTGAAGTTTTAATGGTGTCAAACAGCATTTTGACTCCCTTGCCTTTTGATTCCTCTTCATCATCTCCACTCGACTGGCTATCCTCATGAGACTTCAATATTTCAAGCAAGTATTCAGGAAGTACAACAAACTGGCAAAAAAAAAAAATTAATAACAATGTAAAACGTCTACATAAAAAAAGAATTAAGAGTCCAACCTGCATTTTATCTACCACTTCAAAGGCCAAATTTTTGATAATCTCAGCATCCACCTTTTCGTTAGCCTTAAGATAAATCCACCAATTTAAATATTAATACATGAGTTTTCAAACATATACCAATTCTTCTTTAGACAGTCCATCAATTTCACTTCCGTGGTACTGAGTGAGAAGGCAAATATTGGAAACAGCAAATGGATGCTTGCTAATCATGATATTATTTAGCTCCAAATCCATGATGTTTTCCAGAAGAGCAATGACAGTCTTTGTGTCGTGCTTGATTCCTGTGCGAAGTCTATCACGAATTTCTTCAGTGAGAAGCAAATACCGTTCCTCATTTATGAAAAGCCTGCATATAAATAAAATTTTAATATTCGCAGTAATCACCAAGCAAAATATGGTTACTTTCTCTGCTGCTCCAATGGCAAAGGCTGGCTTTCCATGGTGAAGTCATTTTCAGGATTATTGGTAGCCAACTGCACAATGTAAGCAAAGTAGTCAGGGCAGCAATTTAGATCTTTGATTTGCAGCATCAGATCAACGCTGTGTCTTGGGAAGTATTTGATAAAAACTCCTTCCTCCTGAAAGACAAAAATTATAGAACACAACAATACAGACATATTTATCTACTTTGTCCATTTCATCCTGATCCTCCAAATCGTCATCAGACTCTTCGTCACCATCAAACTTGGCTTTCTTTCTGGCCTTTGTGTCCTCATCAAAAGGTTTGTCAGGATTGAATGTGAGACAATCTTTGATTTTCTCCTCAGCATGAGATCTTTCAGCAGCAATCATTTCAAGGAGTTCAGACGAATCCCAGTTCTTGATTTTGTTTTCATTGAAGTGGTAGCCCATCTGACGAAGGACCAATTTCAGTCCTTCACTGTCTACATTGTAATCCCAGATGGAATTCTTTATCAGTCTCCTGACAATTCTTTCATCTTCAGGCATATTTTCATCTTCAGGTTCTCTGTACTCTAGGTAAGTATCTTTTATTTCAATCTCACTTGACTTCTCATCAAACTTGTGAGTTTTTTCAGTCAGTTTCTCCTCAGAATTTTTGGCCTTTTCAACATCATCCTGCTTTGCTTCGGGTGAATTTGGATGCAGTTCCACCTTATCATAATCACCATCTTCACTTTCAGAAAGAGTTTCTTCCACCTTTGTAGGTGTTTTAGGTATTGGCAATCTCTCGAGGTTGACCCTCAATGTGGGAGTGTTGATTTTCCTCTTCTTTGTTACTGGACTTTCTGTAGAGCTCGACTCTTCCTCACTTTCAACAGGCTTGGACTTGCGTTTCTGAGTGGCAGCAGCCTTGGAAGATTTTACCTTCTTAGCACTTGTCTCAGGCTTTTCAACAGGTTTCTCTTCTGAAATGACACAATGCTAAACTATTATCTGCAACAAAATTGGTACAATAATACCTTCTGGTTTTTCTGCATCTATGTCCTCTGTCTCTTCCATTTCATCGTTGGAAGGTTTCTCCTCTTCACTCTTCTTATTTGCTTCTGGCAACTCCGCAGCAACATCAGGTGCTTCCTCAACCTCTCTCATGGCTTCAATGAAGCGCTTAGTCTTGCACTTGGTTTTCATAGCATCACTAACGTCAGAATACATGCAGAGCTCGTCTGGCTTGCAAGTCGAGCTACAAAATTCATAGCGAAAATATAGACAAAAATTATTCGACGCATTATCAAATTTCTAAACACAAAAAATGGAATGCTTACAACTGATGGGTGCCATAGAAGAAAACTGTGTATTTGACCAGAGAGGGATTTTTGTCTCCAAGAATGATTTCCTCAATCTGTAAAAAAGAAAGATATGGAATTTATGTTGCCATAAAATTCATGTAATTAATCAACAATCTAACAAATCAAATCAAGAACAACACAAAGAGATTTTAATTTTGTACGTACTCTGGCAGGCCAAGCTGGATGGCCTCGTACTTTGGCGAACACAAGGTCTCCCTTGCTGTAAGTCTTCACAACAGCAGGCGCTGGAGTCACGCTGCTTTTTCTTGCAGGCTTTCTCATGATGGGGCTTTGGATCTCTAAATAGCGTCAACTGAAACAGTCATTGAGTCAGGTTATTAATAGCGACGAAAAGAAAAATTTAGGAAGCAAAACAAAAACGGTCGAACAGTGGTGAAAAAAATGGCGCGCAACTCCAGCCAAACTGGATTTAGATCGAAGATTTCATAATTAGTAATGGTTATCACATTGAAATACCTAGCGAAAGTGAAAATCGAAGGTGTCAAGCTTTGAATGTCGACGTTTTTTCTAAAATTCCGTGCGAGGAAATATAATTTATTTTCGTTTCAAAATTATGTATCACCGACCCAAACGACCGGCAAATGCAGGTGATGGAGTTCTTGCCTTGGCCCAACTGTCTGTTGTGCGCAGACGCCGAGAATTCACACCCAATCAGAGACGGTAGATGGCAGGACCATCATGTTTTAAAATAAGTTTGAGGGAAAACGGTGCGCTTGCCCTCCATCCCGGAGATTGTGGGTTCGATTCCCACTCCAGGCGGATTTTTCTCGGGGGAACCTGAGTGATTTCTCATGCTGGGACTGCGAGAGGGTTGTTCTTTGCTAAAGTTGGCCGGGGACCGCAGGATTTTGTGTTGAGAAGGGTGTTTGAATTGCACCGAAGTTGTACACAATGTACACCAAAGCGTTTAATACAAAATCCTTTATAATAAAATACCAGAAAAATAAAACAAACAATTTTACCAAAATTAACTTTTCTTAAAATTTTCTTCGCGGAGCCGTGACATTTATTTCAATTGCCTTTGGCCTTTGGAAAAAATTAGGGAAATGGATCCATTTTTATTAATTTATTTAATATTGACCACTCAAAACTTTTCCATGATGTTAACACCTTTCCAATAAGCACCTTTCAAACACGACAAAATAATTTGTACTGATCTCTCCTGTTCGTCAATTTCAGTCCATCCTTGCATACATAGCACATTTTCTTTCGTCAGCTCTATTTCTTAATTACTTAATTGACTTCTATTTTTTCAGAGCAATAAAAATTAAACATTTTTTTTAAATCATCAATGAAATTTGTATATTTCATAATGTTATTAGAAATTATGAAATTTAGAAATTAGGCACGAGTTTAACTTCTAATTCTATTGCTTATTTTTTCAGTATGCGTGTTTATGAAAGTCTAATGTGAATAAATATGATCCAGTATCTAACTGTCTCTAACTAAGTAACTACTTTTCTTATGTAATTTATTAACTACTTTTCTTATAGATATATATTTTGTTTGCTTTCTAAAATTTCTTATATGTCTCTTGAGCTTCTGGGGAAAAATCTAAAAAAATCTCCAAAGGAGTATGATTAATTTTTTTAACATTTTATTTTTTATTTCGTGGAAAAATCACAACTATTCATATATATGTTTTTGTATAAAGACGACAAAAAAATATTTGAACTCTTAATTTTTAGTCAATTAAAAAAAGTATATATATAATTGTGTTTACTAGTTTCTTTATTTTTTCTTATTATATTTTATCGTTTAAAAAATAATATATAGACCGATTTATAAATGGAACTAGGAAAAAAAAATCAAAATTTACTTGTTATCTCATTTTCCAATAAATAATTCAGATGATTATTACGATTTTGATTTGACTTTGAACAGGAAGGAACTCTTGGCGATTTGAATTTATATCGAGAGCTGCGGTGGAAGAACCACGCAAGGTGCTTTTCCAAGAGCAAGAAGCCAGAGTGGGCCACGGAAAATCGTGCCAGACATGAGAAGAGTTGAATTTTCACCTGTCGGCCAAATGGCGTGATGGAAAAGTGGCAGAGGGCTATCGACTGCCGCGGGGGCGCAAAGGAGTCACGCGCCCTCGCCCTCACTCGCACTCACACGCTCCCAGAATTAACAGGTAAACTCATTACGTTTGGAACGAAATTTCGTCAAGTGCACTTTGCGACGTGCTTGAGTAATTCAATTTGCACCACTATAGTTCACTCGCTATTATTTTCGTTAATCAATCACAAAATCACACAAGCTAACACAGTTGTGTTTAAAATATAGAGAGAGCAATTAATTGTTACGCAACTAAAATTTTGCACTAATATGTGATAAATTATGATTTTTAATGCTGATTAATACCAAATTATTATTTTGTGTTCTTACATTATATTAATTAATGAATTTATTATTAGTTGGAAATGAAGTTGACAACCTGATTGTTGACTAGATAGTTTTTTGAAAAATAGAAATTTTATCTTTTTAATAATTTGACGTTGGAAAATTGTGTTGCCGTAACGAAAATTCATTTTTGAAGAGACGCGTACGCTCTCCCGTTACTTTACCACGAGAAACAACTGTCAGCAGATTTCAGCCAGCAGCACTTATCTTTCGCACCAAAATACCCCTTTCCTTTTGTTCACAAATTCCCGGCGCTTGTTTTCAACTTCTCTGCATGATTTGATTTAAGCCTTTCATTAGCAACACCTATTGTTTTCAGTTGCGGACAATGGTGCGAAGGACAGCTGCCACATTGTGGTTCGCCGTTGACATCCTCGTGCTGAACAGAAGATTCCGTTGCGAGAACGATGGCAGCGAGGAGTGGTCCGCGCTCGAAGAGTGGCTCCGACACCAATTAGCCGAGCGCCAGGAGATGAAGGCTCGCCTTCAAGATGCTGCGCTTGTGTCCGGCGGAGGCCACGTGCATCGTCTCTGCAAAAAGCGACAGCACCAAATGACGAGGAGGCAAAAACGGCGGAAGTCGTCAGCGGAGAGGCAGCAACCCTCCTTGTAAGTTTACAAACTAGATAAAGTTAAATGACAGCAACAGCAACGTTACATCCAAAATTAATAGCTGCTGTTTTTCAAATAAATATTTCCGATATTAATTAATATTTCTTTAAACAAGATATAATTATTAATTTTAAGATTGTTCAAAGTGAGAAAATAATGAAATTTAATCATGCATATTTTCATTTATTTCTCAAAAATTTTCAGTTTCAAAACGGTTTCTTTTGTTAACATAAACTATAAAACTGGAAATTTGAAATGTTTGAAAAAAAATTCAGGGAGTATAAGGTGTAAATGGAAATTACAGATTATTTTGCAATCCTAATTAAGCTATCGTCGATCATTGCTGCAGCCAGTTCAACAAAATTCCCACTTTCCCTTCAAAATCTTAAATTATCTTAAAATATTTGGAAATTAAAACTGAAATTAGATATAGTGGGATATATTTTAATAACAAAAATTTTCTATATCCGCGTCTAATTTATAGATTTAGTTTTGACACTGATTTCTATATCATTGGTTTTTAGTACATAGCATTGTATCATTTGAAATAAAGGAAATACATATGTATACTTTTATAAAAAATTTTTAAATTTTAAATCGTATTTTTTTCAAATTTAAAATTTATTTTATTTATCATATTTTTTTTTTTACAAATCGCATAAAGTATTTGTTTCTACAAATTAAGCGTTGACTGAAAAACATGCCCTATGATGCATTTGATTCGCAGCTTAAGAATCGAAAGGCGATAGGGTGGCGCCGTTTGATCCCAAACTTTATACCGACTACCCAGCGGCGTGAGAAATTTTAGCTCGGCAGACATGTGCGGTATTGAAAGAACTCAATTTGCAGCCACAATGCCGACTGCTGATGAATGTTGCGCGAGAAAATAATGCTAGGCCGCGCTTTGTACCTGCTGTGGAAACGAGTGCCTGCGAAAATAACGCGCGCGCTCCAACGCGCCTTTCAATGGCAAGAGAGACCGCGCCGCTCCTCTCCTCTCTTGGCGGAATAATAATGATGCGTGCAGCCGAGCTTCAGAGAGGGAGAAGCCTCAAAGTCGGAATCATCATTAGAAGTTCACGCAAAGCGAATTTGCTAAACATGGGCGCATACAAATAAAAGCGGCCTCTGCACAGTAGAATCTTCCGAATCTCGCACCAAGAGACACAACATGCGGAATTAATTTCGCGCGAGGGGAGAAATTCAAACAACATCCCAAGTCTGCACAAGTTTGATGACATGGTTTGGTGTCCGACTTAAGTTTTGTAAATATTCGCCGTCAGGGCGCGCTATGTGTACTACATACTCGGATTATAATCAAGTCATTAGAGTTTGTCCTATAGGAATTCTACAGTTATTGATAATTAATTACATCCACTTCTCCCTTTCTGGCAGCAGCCACTGTTGTTTTCGCGAGCCCCTGCAGAGAGTGTGTATTTACTTAGAAAACAAACTTCCTCGCTATCCCACGTCTCTTTTGGGGCAGCGAAACGAAGCGATTTCTACTTGATGCATTTGGAGCTCATTTAGTTGGACTCGGCGCGCGTGTTTACTTCCACGGAGTGAATTTCACGAGAAGTTTGCTAATAAATCTTGCAGTGAGATAAGAAAATAAGATTCAGCATCCGGCGTCCGCGAGAGGAGCCATTTACTTATAGTCGCGAGCAAGAGGTCTTCTAAGTAAGAGGGACATGATTGCAATTACGTTTCTCATTTTAATCTCCGAGCTGCATCAAACTTTTAATGAATTTTTCCCTTAATCTGCTAGAGAGTAAATTTTTCATGACTGGGCGCGCGCGAATAATAATATTATTACCATTATCGATTGCAATTTTCTCTCAAGCTGAAACGGAATTTTATGATGTGAAGCAGCAAAACAACAAACACGCTCGCGAACATGTTTCCTCTCAAGTCTCTATTAACTTTTCAAGCGGCACATGCATTATGAAATGAAACCGGCAGTAGCAACAGCATGCAAGCTGCTTGTTTATTTACTTTAGGCGCAACTTTTTACTCGAAAACAATTTGCTCCGCTGATAAGAAGCAGAGCACGAGGGGTGGAGCAGGAAATAATGTTTTCCTTCGTAAACTCTCGCCGAAGTCACGCGCCAACCCCTTGGGCTCGCCGAGCAGCGGATTTACACTTTTTGCCACTTTCTCTCGCGCTTCTCCACCAAAGTGTCTCTCTTTACTCGCGCCGATAATTCGCAAAAACGCCGCCGACGGAATTGCTTTTTTGAATATTATGAATAGACGTGCCGAACGAAGATTCTGGATCAATTTGCGTGTCAGAGACGCCTGCCTGGCCATTAGCGTGAGCGAGGCGAGTGAGTGGTGCAATTTCGGAGGCGCGAATACATTTTCAAGTCGCTCCTCGCACCCACGAGCACCTGCTGGCTATTTTCTCAAGCGCAGCGACATCATCATGTGAAGCATTCATTATTCACGAGTCATTTCGTGGTCGGCCAGCCAATCAAAAATCAGCTCAAAATTTTCCAAAACAGAAACTGTTTAAATGGGACCGACCTCAGAAAGAAGAAAGGTATTTGACAGGTGGATATCATTTATTATTTTGTATTAACAACGAAATCACTCAATGAGAATTAATAAATTAAGGTGCATTTCTAGAATTAAATACAATGAGGAATTCAGAGTCATCAATGAAACAAGTCAACGTGAGTGATGGACAAATTAAATTCACCAGATCGTAGGCCATAAAAATTTCTTTCTAATCAATAATTAAAAAGAAATCAGATTTATTCATGAATATTATTCATTTATGAATAATTTCCTTCAGAGTCTAAAAAATTCTAATTACAATAAAATACTGCATTAAATTCACTAAATTTTGTATATTTTCTTTCAGTTTTATTTTATTTTTATGCCTTTTAAATTATTTTCAATGCATAATTTTGTTTTTATTCTGTAGATTTGATCACTCGCTTATTGTAAGCAGGCATATCAAAATCTAAATGATTTTTGAAAGTAAATTTTTGCAAAGGGAGCTCAGTTAAGCTTCACAATTTCTTTTGCAACCAATTTTTTTTTTTAATAATATTGTCTTTAATGTGTTCTTTAGAAAATAATAATTATATTATTATACTTTTCCAGTCTTTTAAACCTTAAAGCCTATAATTTTTGTCATTTTTATTCAGGAGGCTTTTTAATGTTTTGCTTATTTTTGCTTGAAATAAACCACAATTTTTCACTTAAAGTTAGTCCTTTTTCTATATAGATATCCTAGAATATAATAAAAAATAAATTAATTTCATTTGAGAATAACGAGTACGACAGGTTTGACCCATATCCTTGTACCCTCATCTTTTCAGAGCATAAATTGACACGGCAGGCATACAAGAATTGCTTGAAAATTTTTTTTAAATTATTTAATATCGTGTAGCTGCATTTGTATTAATTTCAATGTATCAGAACAACTTAAGGTGCTCATACTCTCTCAAAGTTTAATAAAATTCCACGTTTGTGCAATTATTATATATAATTTAGCATTTCAACCAAAGTGAGATTTTTATTTCACAATTTACATTTCCTCATTTCTATACCACCCATCTCTAGCAAGCAACACACTAGCCAATGGGTTGTCGCTGCTCTCGGCAACTTAGCGCCCATGAATAATTCAGAAACCTTTGTGTTTTGGCACAAAAGATCACCAGCAATTTGCAGTAATCCTCTTAGCAGCATCCCCCTTTTTTAATTGGCCCCTTTCTTGGGCCAGAGCTGCTTCTTCTCCTCTCTCGTCTTGACAGAAAGAAATTTGAAGCGTCCTCGTTTTGGAGCAGCACCAAAACAAAGGCACCTTTTCAAAAAGTCGAGAGCTTTCCTAGCAGCAGCGAATTCCGCCGCGCTTTTTCGAGGGCCGTTCTCCGAGTGGCTCCACTTTCAGAAGATTTTCGCGTTCGGCCGCAGGTGGCACGAGAATTCACTTTCCACGACGTACCTGCGGCGGCACGCGAGGATCGTGTTATACACCTCGATCTCTTTCTCTTTCCGCGTATTAAACTAGACCGAAAGCAAAGCAGGCGTTCAAGGGTGCCGGCGGGCAAGGTATTTTAATGCGCTCTCCACCCCGTGCATTAATTGCGGTGGCTGCCATCAAAGGAGCACTTAAAACAATCATCTGCAATCCTGGGGGTCGCGTTATTATTTTAGGAAATTAAACTCAGGGGCCTGCCGGCGGGCAATAAATTTCGGGCTCGGAGATAATTTTCATAATATCAGCCGAATACATTCTCCGCGGATTTAGTGGTTCGGCGCCAGCGCAGCTAAGTGTGCTGCGGCACCGAGGATGCGTATGCAAGCCGCCTGATATGCGTGCCGCACTGTTTGCCTAACCACCTCTCTTGTTATCGCCGCCGAGCATGATGCTGAGCTGCAGCCGCCACGTTCCAAATTGCGTTTCATAATTTATGAGTGTTCGTTTTAATATTCAAATATATGCACCGGTACCATAGTGTTGGCCGGCAATTATAAATAAATAAGCTTCTCGTCTCTGCCAATTTCGCATGCATGCCGCTTTTTTGCTCCTAAAGAGTGGTCTTTATTGCTAATGCCGCCATAAAAATTCAGCAGCGGCTTCATTATTCAGTCACATGAACTCGCTCTCAAAAATTGCTCCCCGGTCTGTTGCTTTCGCATTTTCCCAGGACGGATGTCATTTTCATGGCTGTGTGTGTTACGTATGTGTGCAAAAAGCGTTCAAAAAGGAGTAGATTAGTTTAATTGCATTCAAAATCATAATAAATTTTAGATTTTTTGTTTGGTTCAAAACGACTGTAGAGAAAAGATTGAAAACAATATTATTTCATTCACAGTGTTTTACTTAAAATTATTCAAGAAATTTGTTTAAAAAGAAATGAAATTTGTAGAAAAGAACGGCATCACCACTACCAATTTTTTTCAAGTAATTGGGCATGCAAACAATTTTTATAATGATTTTATTCTACAAGGATATCTGTTAGACCTTAGATCATTTCTTTTCC